AGATGTCAACAGCTGTCTTTATTTTCATACATTTCCCAGGTTGTTGCCCCGATGAACCGGAATCCACGCACAGATTTAGAGCGCATATGCGCCGTGATCCTGATTTGCCCCCTGAAGGTCAGCTATATACAGGTACCGTGGAAATTCAGTTACCCTTGCAGGCATAAGGATTCCAGATTCTTCAGTGTCCCACACTTCAGACCACTCTGACATTGCTACACTGTATCTTCTTTATTTCATGTGTGCAAATTGACTAGTGTAGTACTAGTCAATCACTAGTCCTGCAAATGCGGAAGATGTATTTCCACTTCAAGTTTGGTTCAGTTTTAATAGTAAAGAACATCTCAATGCAAGGTTTAGATATTTAGCTGATTGTTAGACATTGGCTAAAATGGAACTCTTCCTGATAAAATGTTGCTGCATTTTCAAACAAAATGGACATCATGTGAAACTTGTAAATTAACATGAAAATGGAAATACTACAGAAAGTTCGCATATACTCTCACCCCTCAGTATCTTTTTTGTGATCACATCTTACATGAATGTGGTGCATTTGTTATAGTGGCTGAAGCAATAGTGATATCTTCTTCTTAATGAACGTCTAGAGTTTGCAGTAAGGCTCACCAGGTGTTGTTCAGCAACAACAAAAGGGACCTCTTAGTCCCTTTCTTCTTTTCTTAGGACCCCTGACTACCATAGATCATTTATTTTACTGCCTCTATAGATTTTCTTTCCCAAAATTCTTAGAATTGGAATCATAAAGTATGCAGCCACTTAGGACTAACTGATATTACTTAGCAATACACATGCAAGATTTTTCTCTTTTCTTTCTTTCTTTCTTTCTTTCTTTCTTTCTTTCTTTCTTTCTTTCTTTCTTTCTTTCTTTCTTTCTTTCTTTCGAGACAGAGTCTCAATCTGTCACCCATGCTGGAGTGCAGTGGCGTGATCTCGGCTCACTGCAACCTCCACCTCATGGATTCAAGCAATTATCTGCCACGGCCCCCTGAGTAGGTGGGATTACAAGCATCCTCCACCACACGCGGCTAGTTTTTGTATTTTTAGTAGAGATGGGGTTTCACCATCTTGGCCAGGCTGCTCTTGAACTCCTGACCTCGTGATCACACGCCTCGGCCTCCCAAAGTGCTGGGATTACAGGCGTGAGCCACTGCGCCTGTCCAACATGCAAGATTTTTCATATCTTTTTGTAGCTTAACTGCTTACTAATTTTTAATCAATGAATCATATTCCACTGGGTTCATGTAACAATGTGGGTTGGTGCACTCACCGCCTGAAAAGTATCTCAACTGCTTCCAGTTCAGGCAATTACGAATATAGCTGCCCTCATTCTCATGCAGATTTTGCAATGGGCGTAATTTTAAAATGTAACTGGGTAAATGTTTAGAATTTTAGTCAGTTGTTTATATAGTAAGACTATGTTTTCCCTTGTAAGAATCAGGTAGAATTCAGTAAAATCACCTGTGCTTTTTTTTTGTTGTTTTTTTTTAGATGGAGTCTTGCTTTGTCACCCAGGCTGGAGTGCGGTGGCGTGATCTCGGCTCACTGTAAGCTCCACCTCCTGGGTTCATGCCATTCTCCTGCCTCAGCCTCCGGAGTAGCTGAGACTACAGGTGCCCGCCACCATGCCTGGCTAATTTTTTTGTATTTTTAGTAGAGACGGGGTTTCACTGCGTTAACCAGGATGGTCTCGATCTCCTGACCTCGTGATTCGCCCGCCTCCTCCTCCCAAAGTGCTGTGATTACAGGCGTGAGCCACTGCGCCCGGCCCACCTGTGCATTTCTTAAAAAGTTCTTATTGATTCAATTTCTATAATAGATATAAGCCTACTTAGATTATCTGAGTCTCCTTTGGGTACTTATGATATAGTTTCTGCCTTTGAAGGAATTTGTTATTTTTACCTAAGTTGTCAAATTTGTGAGCATAGAGTTATTCTAAGTATTCTTTTATTATCTGCTTGATATTAATGGGATCAGCAGGAATGATTCTTCCTTTTATTTATATTATTTGTAAATTGTGTCTCCTAGCTTTTCTTGTTGGTTAGCTGGAGGTTTATCAAATCTATTTATCTTCCCTATGAAGCAGCCCTTGGTTTTGTTTATTTTATCATATCTATTATAAAGATTTCTGCAAATAATTTTTTGTTCTATTTTTATGTCTGGTTTACATTATACTATAGTTTTTTTCTCTAGCTTCCTAAGGTGGAAGGTAAGAAAACTGAATTAAGATGGTTTTTAGTTTTGTTGGTTCGTTTGTTTAAGACAAAGTCTTGCTCTGTTGCCAAGGCTGGAGTGCAGTAGTGCGATCTTGGCTCACTGCGACCTCCACCTCCCAGGTTCAAGTGATTCTCCTGTCTCAGCCTCCTAGAAGCTGCGACTACAGGTGCCCACCACCATGCCTGGCTAATTTTTGTATTTTTATTAGGGATGGAGTTTCACCATATTGGTCAGGCTTGTCTTAAACTCCTGACCTCTGATGATCCATGCACCTCAGCCTCCCAAAGTGCTGGGATTACAGGTGTGAGCCACCGCACCTGGCCTGTTTTTAGTTATCTATACAGCATTGTGAATAGAACTAATGCCCTGAAGTCTGCACTTAATAATGAAAATAACACATGTGTATTTTTCACCACAATAATGCTTTAAAATCCAATAATAGAGGTGATAAGTGCAGAAGGAGCATATGTAGATTCAGGAATGTTAAACATAGTGCCTTTTTTTTAAAAATAAAGGATATTTACCAGGCCTCTTTCTGTGAGGAGACCCTGTCCTGGAGTGATGTCTCCTGCATTTGTGTGCTGCCTGTGTGAACACTGCCTACTTCACAGTGATGAGGGTGGCTTAGCCACAGACCCGAGACTCTGTCTCCCAGGGCTCTCCTGAGGGTGTCCTTTGCCTCCTTCACCACCAAGGAGGGTGGCCCAGCAGCAGCTCAGCCCGTGCTCTCGCCCACCTCCACACACGCCAGCCCTGTGTGCTCAGCACCCAAGGCTGCCAGAGGTCCTTCAGCAGCTCCCATGGCTGACAGTGACTCTGTTTCCTAGACTACCACCAGGAGTGGCAGTGGCCCTCGGTGACTTCCTGGGACCTGATCCGGGCAGCACACTCGGTAAAGTCTTCTTTCTTTGTCTGAGATGCGAATTTCATTTATTTTGGTTTCTTTCTATTTTCTCTGAATTAAGATATGTAAATCTTACCACGTACTTTACAGATGAGCCACAGAATTTCTTGGTGGGCAGAGGTATGTGAGAGCCCATTCATTGCCAACTTGGAACTTGTTCCAGACGGCACTCATAGATGACAGCGTTAGTGATACCCTGCATGGCAGAGAGCATTTTCCTCAGGAGAAATGCATTCTTGAAAATAGCGGTGACTTTGCAACCAAAAATCATTTTGGAAATCTCATGCAGTACTCTTACTCATTTCCACAAGTGTCTTCTAGGCTTTATTTTGGGGCCATTGACTCGAGCACTATCTCCCAACTGGTTTTCTTTTTTTTTTTTTTTGAGACAGAGTCTCGCTCTGTCACCCAGGCTGGAGTGCAGTGGCCGGATCTCACCACACTGCAAGCTCCGCCTCCCAGGTTTACGCCATTCTCCTGCCTCAGCCTCCCGAGTAGCTGGGACTACAGGCGCCCGCCACCTCGCCCGGCTAGGTTTTTGTATTTTTTAGTAGAGATGGGTTTTCACCGTGTTAGCCAGGATGGTCTCGATCTCCTGACCTTGTGATCTGCCCGTCTCGGCCTCCCAAAGTGCTGGGATTACAGGCGTGAGCCACCGCTCCCGGCCTCCCAAACGGTTTTCTAATGCCACCAAGTGAAGAAAAGACCCACGAACACAGGACACAGCATGGTCTGACCCTCACAGTGTTTTCCTTTCTCTCTGCAGACGTTCTCAGCAATTCAGGAATACAGTATGTACTCTGGGATCTCCCATTTGATAAGGAAAAATCTTAGCTTTGAGAAAGGTGACACTTTCCTTCCGGCTTTTGCTGGAGAGCCACCCTGGTTTGAGCTTCCTGCTGGAAATGAGGTTTGGGCGGTTTGGTGTGAAAAAATGAAGAGTTTAGTCAACAACTGTGACCATCCACGGTAGTTTCCAGAAGCAGTGATGTCATTTAAATAGGAATAGGGTACATCGGGGTGGAGAGGTATGGAGGAGAGAGTCTGTGTGGAGTGATGGTGAATGCCTTTGGGAGTGTGTGTGCATTTCTCTAGAAAGCATGTTCCCCTGTGCAAAGCACGCCCCAAGGATCAATGTTCTAGAAACAACATTCCATCCCCACATCAGTCAACACTTCACCCTTCACCACAGCTGTACCGGAAGGTTAGTTGAACATCCCCCGTCCTCAGATTGGAGACGGTGGAGAGATGAATTTCCCAAGCTCTCAATTCCCTGAATGGAAAAGGCAAATGTGAACTCAGGAAGGGGTGAAAGGTGGACGTGATGGGCTGCTGCTCCGCAGTCCTCACGTGGTCCTGGTATAACTCGTCACCACACCAGGGAGTTCCAGCATCTGTGTGTGCATGTGGAAGCACGACAGCCTAGAGAGATCCCAACACTGCCCAGCATTGTAAGATGTTCTCAGTGATGGCGAAAGGCAGGGTAGCAACACAGTGGACTTTGGGGTGGTCCTTAATGTGAAACACACATAGGGGAGTCACAGGCTTTTGGCTGCAGTGGTGGTGTCATTTCTCAGCTGCTGTTCAAAAGTGGAGTATAATCAGGGATATGTCCCATTGTATTTAAAGATATGATTGGACCCAGTGTGGAGGCTCATACCTGTAATCCCAGCACTTTGGGAGGTTGAGGCAGGAGGATCACTTGAGCCCAGGAGTTTCAGATCAGCCTGGGCAACATAGTAAAGCCACATCTCTACAAAAAACACAAAAATTAGCCAGGCGTGGTGACGTGCTCCTATAGTCCCAGTTCCTCAGGAGGCTGAGGCCAGAGGATTGCTTTAGCCTGGCAGGTGGAGTCTTCAGTGAGTCATGATTGCGCCACTGCATCCCATCTGGGAAACAGAGTGAGATCCTGTCACAAAAAACCAAACCAAAATCATGATGACCACGAGCCTTAGAAATGCTCCAGCTTAGTGACACACACACCCAAGAAGTAGCGTTTATGGTGTCAAAAACAACTTGGGTGTCAGCCTGGTGCCCCCTCTTCCCTGCTGGAATCTCCAACAGCTGGGTTAGAGAGGGTCAGCGTCCCCACATGTTGCCCGCATGACAGGCTGTCCCAGTGTCAAAGCCAGTGTAAGTGTGAGCAGCAACAGACTCCACGGACACACACACGTATGGAAAAGAGAGAGTATAGGACAGATAGCACGTGCTAAATAGCAGTTATCTTTAAATAGGAAGAAAACAGTATTTTCAAAGCTTTATTTCATTGTCCTTAAAACAAATGGGTAGTGAAAAAATAGAAGGTTTTGGTTGGAATTAAACCTTCTCTGTAAAGAAAGGCTGCTTCTTATCAAGTAGAAAACCTCTAGGAGGGATGATCGCCACAGCAGCACCACAGGTGGATTCTGGGGAGGAAATGACGTTGGAAGGATGCAGGAAGGGAGGGCAAGTGAGCTCGGGTCAGATGAGGAGGTGGGAGCCCTGAGAGGCTGCAGGGACACACAGCCTGCCCTGGGTGCTGTGCCCTGTTCAAGATGGGCTGTTTCACATGGATGAGGCAGTCGGGGCTGGAAAGCCTGTCTTCCCTGCTCCTGTCCTGCACCTGCTGACGGTCACTGTGTCTTCCTAGTGGCAAGATATTCTCTCTCGAAGAAACTCCGCAGGAAAACCAGAGATGAAGATGCCGCCCGAAAAGTGCAGGTCAGGCCACCTGGTTTTGTCTGGGAAAAAGTTACTTTCTTAGCTTTATCTTCTTGAGTTAAAATAAGACATAAGAATCTGACCCTATATCTCATAGGTGACTTATACAGTGTCGTTGGTGGGGGGAATTCTGAGTGAGTCTGTTCCCCACTGAGGGTTGATTTAAGACGGCGGGAGAAAATGACAGCGTCAGCCACGCCCTGAGCGGCAGTGAGCTTTCTCCTCAGCAGCTTGATTCTTTCCTTGGGGAAAATCACTGAATCACCAAGCAGCACGGAGTTAGAGGACACGTCCTCCAGGAGAAACTTTAGCATGAGTCAGTTTGTCCTGTTCTTCTTCTGTGTTCCTTTGATTTGAGCACTGTTTTCCATCTGGTTTCCTAATGTCACCAAGTGAAGAAAAGACCTGCGTGCTCGGGACTCGGATGGTCTGAAGCTCATGTTTTTCTTTCTCTCAATGCAGGCAGAGGAACAGGCCGAGGAGAAAGGTGTGTGTGCTGGAATCAGTCCTTTCTAAGAAAAGATCTTCAGGGTTGCAAAAGGTGGCACTTCCTAGTCTGCTTTTGCTGGAGAGCCACTTTGGTTTGAGCTTCCTGACAGAAATGAGATTTGGACAGTTTGGTGTTAAAAACACTGAGTCCAGTAAAGAACTGTGACCGTCCACTCGAGTCCGGGGAGGCAGGATTGTCATGTAGATGGAATAGTGTGTTGTGCATCAGGGTGGGGAGGTACGGAGGAGAGAGTCGTGTGGAGCAATTGGGAATGTCTTTGGGAGTGTGTGGGCATTTACTCAAAAAGCATGTTTCCCTGTGTGGAGCACAATCAAAGGAGCAATTTCCCTAAAAATAAAGTTGCATCACCACTGCACACTTCACATAAAATAATGCATTAATCCTCCCCCACAGCTGTACCTGAAGGTAAATTTTATGCCCTCATCCTCAGATAGAGACGGTGCAGAGATGAATTTCCCAGGCTCTCAATCTCCTAAATGGAAGAGGTGAATGTGAACTCAGCAATGGGAGGAGGATTGGTACAGTGGGTGACTATTGTGCATTCACCAGCCAGCCCTGGTATAACTCACCATTAGTCCAGGGAGTTCCGGCCTCTGTGTGTGCATGTGGAAGGATGAGAGTCTAGAGAGGTCCCAACACTGTCTGTCATTGTAGGCAGGGCTCAAAGGCTGCCTAACCCAGGGTAGCAGTAGGTACATTTTACACTGGACTTTGGTGTGGTCATTAGTGTGAAACACACAGAGCGAGCTCACAGGCTTTTGGCAGTAGTGGTGAGGTCATTTCTCAGCTCATGGTGAAAAGCAGGGAATACTCAGGAACATGCTCTATTGTATTTAATAACATGAGTATCACAAACCTTAGAAACGCTCCAGTTGGCCAGGAACAGTGGCTCACGCCTGTAATCCTAGTAGTTTGGGAGGTCGAGGCAAGTGGATCACTTGAGATCAGGAGTGGAGATGAGGGTAGGCAGAGTGGTGGAACCTCGTACCTACTAAAAATACAAAAAGCTAACTCAGCGTGGTGGCCCACCCGTGGTCCCAGCTACCTGGGAGGCTGACTGGGGAGGATCACTAGATCCCAGGAGGCACAGGTTCCGGTGAGCAGAGATCGTGCCACTGCACTCCAGCTTTGGTAACAGAGACCCGTTATCGAAAGAAAGAAGGAAAGAAATGCTTTAGTTACGTAGCAAACACAATCAATACACAGCGCCAAGTATCATCCCAAGGAACAACTTGGGTGTTGGCCTCCCACCGTCTCCCCTGCTGGAACCTCCGGCACAGCTGGGTTGGAGATGGTCAGTGCTGCCACCTGCTGCCCCCATGACATGCTGTCCCAGTGTCACAGCCAGTGTGCGTGTGAGCAGCAGGGGACCCCGACACACAGACATCGCATTGAGAAGGCTGAGTGCAAGGACGAACAGCACTTGCTAAGTGGGGTTATCTTTAAATAGAATATAATTGAGTATTTTTAAAGCTTTGTTTTATTGTCTTTAACACAAAAGATTGGTGAATGTATAGAATATTGGGGCTAGAATGAAATCTCTCAGAACAAAGGCTGTTTTTTACCAAGTGTAAAATATTCTAGAATGACTGATATATACAGAAGCACCACAGGTGGGTTCTAGGGAGGAAATGACGTTGGAAGGACTCAGGAAGGGGAGGGCAAGTGAGCTCAGGTCAGGTCAGGGGACAGGAGCCCTGAGAGGCTGTAGGGATGCACAGCCTGCCCTGGGTGCTGTGCCCTGTTCAAGATGGGCTATTTCACTTGATGAGGCGGCCTGGGGCTAGAAAGCTGTTCTTCCCTGCTCCTCCCTTGCACCTGCTGACCGTCACTCTTTGTCTTCCTAGATTCCACCGAGGATCTGAAGGTGGAACTTTCGAAGAAGAAAAAAACTCCATGGAAAGTGAAGGTCAGACCCCTGCATTTATCTGAGGAATGCAGTTGCTTTCCTAGCTTTATCTTTCTGAATGAGCCTAAGAGATGAGAATCTGGCCGTATTTATCACAGGTGACTTACACAGTGTCCTTGGTGGGGAGAATTTAGGGGGAGAGTCTGTTCCCCACTGAGGCTTTATTTTAAACAGCAGGAAAATATGACAGCACCAGCCACGCACTGTGTGGAGTGAGCTTTTTCCTTAGCTGCTTGATTGTCTTCTTAGAACAAAATTACTTAATTACCAAGCAACATGGACTTAGAGGAAACATCCTCCAAGAAAAACTTGTGTCTTTAGCATGAGGTGGTTTGTCCTGTTCTTTTGGGTTCCTTGGGCTTGAGCACTTTTTGCCATCTGGTTTTCTAATGTTACCAAGTGAGGAAAAGGCCTGGGCACACAGCACACAGCATGGTCTGGCGCTCACAGCAATATGTTTTCTGTGATTACAGGAGGCCTGGAGAGAGCAGGAGAGTGGTATGTATGGGGGAATCCCTCCCGTGTGAATGAGGAATCCAGGTGATGAGGAATGTGCCGCTGTGTCGCTGGCTTTCCTGTAGACAGGCAGCCGGAGTGGAGCTTCCTGTTGTGACTGAGGACCCGGGCTGTGGCGGGAGAAGTGGTTGCTCCGGTGAAGGACCTGTGGGCACATTCTGCAGTCCCTGAGAGGACCTGCATTCTCTGTGTGTGGGGTGGGTTTGTGTGCACGGGACTGGTGTGTGTCTGTGTGAATGCGTGTAGTGTGATGCTGACTGTTCCTGGGGGTGTGTGTGTGTCCCTAACACATGTCTCCCCCTTATTAGTGTCCACATTCTTAGTATAAAAATGCCATCAGTCTTGCAGCCTGATGAGAGGCACAGGCAGTTATTAGTGAAAATGTAAGTTTACGATGTGTGTAGTTTATTGCATGCAAAGAACACTTCAATTAATCCAAAGGAAATCCCATCAACACCCAGCAAATGTTCACTGGGTACTAACAGAACAAAACTGTCTTAGGATTCCTGCTAATTCTTTTTTATTTTTCAATGGGAATCCCCTTCCAAACCTCATTTTTCAATAAACCTCACCTGGTAACAGGCCTTTCCATTTCCTCCTGGCATAGGAGTGGTCGTGTCACCTCACTGTTGCCACTTCCCTCCTTCACAAGCCTTTTCTACTGGAGTCATCAGAACTCGTCCTCCACGACCCGTCTTCAGCATGGGGAGTGGGCGGGGCTTCTTTCTTTGCAGGGAGACCCTGGGCAGCCCCATGCTATGACCAGTTTTGGCAGGAGACTGAGAAAAGAGGAGCCTGCAGGCAGGGTTGGGGTAAAATCACTTGACTGTCCTCATTGCAGCGTCCTATTGACCATCAGATAATGTGGCCCAGAACAGCTAATGCCGGGGTCATGTAGAGGCTCAGCCTGCAGCACTCAGCCTAGTCATGGTCTCTGTGTGTTCAGCTCAGGAAACACAGCAACAGGACAAGAGAACCAAGGGGTTTGCCCGAGGGTCTGAGAGGCAGGGTGAGCCCTTGCCTTCCTCCTAGCAGGATGGAGGGTGGCTCGTGACTTGCAGGTGGGGAAAGACAAACAGCTGTGGGACAGCAGAGGCTCCGTGATGCTCCCGTTGCCCCCACTGTTGACAAAGGTTCTTCTTTGCCTCTGAAGGCCTGTGCAAAAAACAAGTCAAGGTGGTTGGTTTCAGTCCATATGAATCTAAAATGAGCCAACTCTGGTTTGGGTTTCTTTGGAGTGTGCGTTTGGTAGAAACTTCTTATATGTCATTTGGATTGCTACGTAGATGACAGTGTTTTTCTACTTTTCAATAAATGAGGCTGTGTGATTTTAAAATGTCCCTTGTTTGCCCCAGAAAGTGTGTCCTCATAACCAAATTCCCCTAGTCATCTTTCCTGTCTAGAGTACAGTTTTTCTGTGGCACTGAGGCGGCCCTTCTGCTGTGTGTGATTAGAGGTACAAATCAGTGTTGCCAACACTGAGGTTCTAAACATTCACGGCCAGCTGCCCAGTGGGCTCCATGAGAGAGCAGAGCACAGCCTGGGCCTGGGCCTGAAAGGGAACATGAGTTAGAGGAGCAGGAAGAAGACATGAGGACATCCAAGCCATGAGGGAAAGCCAAGGTTGAAAGGTCAGGAGAGTCAGGCCAATGTCATGCCCTGGGCGCAGCCAGGATGTTCGGGCCCATCTGACGGGGAAGGAGCAGAGCTTGGACTTCAGCGCCGGCATGAGCACTGCCTGGCCATCTTTCCAAGAGCCTGGAGAGAGGAGCTGCGTTTTCATTTCTCTTCTCCATCTTTCTGTGTTGATGGCAACACAATCAGAAATTAGTGAGAGGCAAAGAAGAGGAGTGAATTCCCAAAATACCTGACTTAGACGCGGGGGATATGATGAGCAGGGGTGGACATCAGAGTCAGGCCAGGCACAGAGCCGTCCTCAGGCCTCTGCTCTCCCCGTGGCTGGGACAGAGAACAGCATGTACTTTTCACCAGCTTCTGGAAGTCACCTGACAACTGGTCCTTGTGTAGATGCTGTTGGTCAAGGTTGATTTATCCCAGAATCACATTTAACTGGAGGGAGCCTCACAGCTCCTGGCCAGGGCAGCTGCTTCACACTAGTTGAGGCAGAAGTGGGAGGGGAGCCAGTTCCAGTGCGGGATGAGCTAAGCAAAGGGAGGGGCTGCCCCAGAGGCCAGGTGTTCCTTGCAAATCTCCCTTGTGACCCACAAGACATCACTTTGCTTGTTTTTCTGAGATAGGCTTGGAATCATCAGTCCCAAAGTCTGTGTTCTTCACCCATGGGTGGAAGGATTCTGGCCATGGCTGGTCACTGTGAAGGCAGGCGCTGTGTCTTTTTTGTTGGTTCTCATCCCAGAGCTCAGCCCTGGGCAGGCCATCTTGGGGGCCCCAGTGATGTTCTGATGCACACAGCCCTGTCCTGAGATAGACCACGAGTGTGAAAAGGCTTCCTGCTCACCCTCTGCAGTCTGCTGAATCCCACACAAATCCAGGTTCCTGTGTGGATTCTGATTCAGGGTCGGGAGAAGTGCGTGGGCTCCCCTCTGTGTTTGCTGTTGTGGTCCTGTCTGCTCCTGAAGGGTGCAATTAAGGATTAAAATAATAAATATTGTGAAAAATTTTTTTTTTTCTGAGACGAAGTCTTGCTCTGTCACCCAGGCTGGAGCGCAGTGGCGTGATCTTAGCTCACTGCAAGTTCTGCCCCCCGGGTTCGTGCCATTCTCCTGCCTCAGCCTCCTGAGTAGTGGCAACTACAGGTGCCTACCACCACGCCTGGCTAATCTTTTTGTATTTTTAGTAGAGACAGGGTTTCACCGTGTTAGCCAGGATTGTCTCCATCTCCTGACCTTGTGATCTGCCTGCCTGGGCCTCCCAAAGTGCTGGTATTACAGGCGTGAGCCACTGCACCTGGCCAGCTCACCATAATGTTTTAAAGTCCAATAAAATGGATGTTAACTGCAGTAGGAGCATAGGTTTATTTAGGAAAGTTAAGTGACATAGTAACATTTTTACAAAAAAGAGGATATTTAGCGGGCCTCTTTCTGTGAGGAGACCCTGTCCTGGAGTGATGTCGTGCATTTGTGTGCTGCCTGTGTGAACACTGCCTACTTCACCGTGATGAGGGTGGTTTAGCCAGAGACCCGAGGCTCTGTCTCCCAGGGCTCTCTTGATGGTCTTCTTTGCTTGCCTTTACCACCAAGGAGAGTGGCCCAACAGCAGCTCAGCCTGTGCTCTCACCCACCTCCTCCACACACGCCGCCCTGTGTGCTCAGCACCCAAGGCTGCCAGAGGCCCTTCAGCAGCTCCCACGGCTGACAATGACTCTATGTTTCCTAGTGACGGAGTCCAGTGTGGTGTCCGCAGAAGTGGCCCTAGCTCTTTGTGAGGTAAACTCTTCTTTATTTGTCTGAGATGAGAATTTTATTTCTCTTGGTTTCTTTCCATTTCATTTGAATTATGATATGCAAATCTCACCATGGAAATTATAGATGAATTGCAGAATTTCTCGGTGGGCAAATGTAAGTAAGAGTCCATTACCAACTAAGAGCTGATTCAAGATGGTACCCGTAGGTGACAGCTTTAGTGACAAACTGCATGGCAGAGAGCATTTTCCTCTTGAGAAATTCGTTCTTGAAAATGACGGTGACTTTGCAACCAAAATCATTTTGAAAATCTTACACAAAACTCTTGTGCCTTTCCACAATGTCTTCTAGGCTTTATTTTGGGGCCATTGCCTCAGGCACTATTTCCTGTCTAGGTTTCTAATGTTATCATGTAAACAAAGACCTGTGCACACAGGACACAGCATGGCCGATTCTCACAATGTTTTCCTTTCTCTATATGCAGCAAACAGGAGTAGGACCTCCCAGGAAAGGACGTAAGTATTCTGGACGCACCCCTTTCCTAAGAAAAAATCTTCATTGTTGAGAAAGGTGGAACTTACTAGCCTGTTTTTGCTGGAGAGCCACTTTGGATTGAGCTGCCTGCCAGAAATGAGGTTTGGACAGTTTGGTTAGAAAACATTAAGAGTCTAGTAAAGAACCGTGAGCATCACAGTCCAGTCCCTTATTGTGGGATCTGGCCAACAGTCCGCAATGCAACGGGACACTTTTTTTGTTCCCAAGTAGATCAGTAGGTCGAGAAATAATAGACACACAAGATAGGAAAGGCTGCGTCCAGGGGGGTCACCGCCTTCTGGTCCCACAGTGCCACCAGTGCACTGGATATGCCAGCATTTGTTATTAAGTTTAGTGAGGACAGGGGTAGGTTAGTGAGAGATTTAGGGTTTTTTGATTATGAGGTGAGATGGTCACATGGGGATGAAGTCATTCTTTAACACACATCTGTACGCAGAAGCACAGTACACAGATAAGAATTTACAGTATAGTGTGTGCATCAGTAATTTCTAACAGAGCCTTAAAACAGAAACACAGTGTTTCCATAACCTATGATTAGCAAGATATTAATCAGATGTAACAGTTGCAGCAAAAGCTGGTTACAAACAATCAATAGAAACAGAGCATGAAGCCAGACAACTGGTTAGACTAGAAATTCTCAGAAGGGAATATGCCTTAACCCTAAAGAGGCCTTGAAGAGCTGCAGCAAGATGAGGGCGTTTATAGCCCTATCTTATCCATATGGACAGGCGCCCCCCATGCATCCGTGTATAGGCTCTCCATGAGGGTCGCGTTCCATTCCCAGAGCTATGAACATCTGCTTTTCTGGGATAGGAATCTTGGTGATGTGAAACCTCCCTGACTGCACGTCCGTTCACAGGCTCTCTGCAGGGGGAAGCACATCACACGCTGTTGGTTCATTCTGGCAGTCCAACCTGGCATTGTCTTTACACAATCCTGCATGCAACTTTCTATTTACAATAATCAGGAGCATTTCATCTTTTATTCTGTAGCAATAGTTCAGGGGGTCTCCCTACATCTCCCCCTTTTCTCTGATTTAAATGAACCATAGCAGTCATAGCTTGGCGCTGATCACAATTGGATTGAAGAATATTTTTTCCAATTTTATGCATGAACAATAAACCAATAGCACAAATTATACACAGAACAAAATTAACGATAGTGGATCCTCCCAAAGATTTTACCCATTGAATGGAGTTGAGATTAGATAACCCCTCAGAAATACTGTCTAAAACTTCAGCACTGGGTAAAGCAGTTAAATGTGCTTGAAAGGCCTCAAAAATCTGTTCTTTTAGCTTGCTTATGTCTAAACTTAAATTATCTGCACTTCCTAGTAAATGGCGTTTTACTGATTCCCAATTGTGAACAGACTTATATTGAAATGGAGTTATACAAAAATCAGAAGTATTCCAATCACATTGCATTTGTAATCTATGTTCAAAACTCATAATTTTATCTCCCATCCACGTAACGGTTTGTCTTAGATCATTAATTTGATTGGCAAATTTTTGATTAATACCTGACTGAGAATTCCACATCCAAGTAGAATATTTTTGTCATTTATCCACAAAATGAGCAGTTTGAATAGATTGATGTAATGCAACTCCAGCAGTAGCAGCAGTCACAGTAACAGCAATCAAGCCCATTATCACTGCAATTAATGTAAAATAAATCATTTACTCCTTTTAAGATTTTTTTGTAAAATATTGTTAATAACATGGATAGAAGGGGAAGATTCCCAAGGCCTATGTAAGGCTACAGGGAGCCAAATACCTTCTCTGGCTCTGACTATTAAAATACTATGATATTGATTAAAGGATAAGTCAATACAAGTAACAATCAACACAGGTAATTATGTTGGTTTTAAACTAATATGCATCTTTCCTACTAATCACATATATGGTGATTTAACACAACTTTTAAGTGGTATAGTTTTGTTGGACTCCATATAGATAGTATTTCTATTTTGGGATGGTACTCTTTTTTTGTGAATGTGGGGTGGGGGGAATAGGTTGTATGAGAGGTGGTGGGGGGACATTAGCAAAGGGGGGGCATGTATGTGCTCATAATCTTTACTGTCCCATCTTCGAATTGACCTTTTGACGATTGCCATAGTGATATTTTTGGCTGTGTGGAAATAGTAGTGTAAATCAATCTGTTGTCTTAGTTTTCGAGGTGACAAGGTGGATTTACTTATAACGCTTTATCCAGCCTGAACTGTCATACCAGTCATAGCTATGGTTAATCTCCATAATTCTGAATGTTCAGGTCCTAAGTGGGGAACAACAAGCCTTGGCTTTGGAGGGGCTACCCCTGCCCCTTTCCACTTAAAAGGAAAAAAGGAGTTAAATCTACGATGTAATAGGGGAGGGTTGTCACTACTTTTTTGATAAGTAATATCATCGAGAAAATGTTGAAATCTCTGTGACCCTGAGAGCAATCATTAGTCATATGACCTTTAGGAGCCCAATCAACAATGGCACAGTTCCTTCTGGACTAACACCATCCTTCCTTATTAATTTGCCAGCATTTGAAGACAAGTCGAGAGGACACACAGGTCCTAAAGGCTTGTATTGGGATGTGTGAACATAATCAGTGATTCCTGTTTTGATCTGCCTTAGACGTTTTAATGAGAGCCCTGATACCAAGTGTCCTAAAGGAGGGACAGAGTGACCAGATGGTAGTATGACTGCCCAAGTTTGAATATCTAGTGAACGACATCCATTAGTGGGTCCCAGGCACAAAGGTGGGTACCTACAACCTGAAGTGACATTGAAAGGGGTTTCTTCTTCTGGAGGTTGGGCAGAACAACCATCATCTACAGAACCAGGCATCCAAATACTATCGTTAACATAGACCTCGATAGGAGCGTCCATCCATGTCAAGGCTCACATAAGAGGAGGAAAAGGAATACAGGCCCAATATGTGTAGTTTTTAACAGTCTGTGGGGTGACAGAGGGTAGAAGGATCAGTGTCATCAGGAGGAGGCAGAGGTTGAGCCGGACCTGGATCGCTGGAGACGAGTTGTTCAGGATGACGGACTGGATTGTCTGTTGTAAAGGAGTTAGCGTGGTCATTGTCTTCTTTTCGACAGTTGGATGTGTTAGTTGTTTCCTGCTGTGGTGTTTTCTCAGCAACTTTCTCTGTCTCGTTGTTGCAGGCATCTTCAGGACACAATTTCAGGTGTCTAGCAGGAATCCAAACAGGAGATGGATGTTCACCTGGGGAAACACAAGCATAGCCTCTTCCCCACGTTAAAATAGAACCTTTTGACCATATATTAGATTGAACATCTTTCCACCATACTTCCCTTGCTTGGTTTACCGTGGGACGGTTACCAGATAATTGTTTTCTGGCAGCAGTAACAGAACTAGATTTAGGAATATTAAGAGAATTTAACATGAGCAATGCCAAGTTTAGTTGTATGTGAGGGGTAGACAACTCCTTATCCCCCTCTTTTTGTTTAAGTAATTGTAATTTTAAAGTTCTGTTGCTTCTTTCTACAATAGCTTGGCCTTGTGGGTTATAAGGAATACCAGTGATATGTTTAATACGCCACCGATCAAGACAATTTTTAAAAGATTTACTGCAATAGTCTGGACCTTTGTGTGTTTTGAGCTCACTAGAAATTTCCATAACTGCAAAACATGAAAACATATATATATATATATATATATATATATTTTTTTTTTTTTTTTTATTTTTTTTTTTTTTCTCAGCAGAGTCTCGCTCTGTTGCCGAGGCTGGAGTGCAGTGGTGTGATCTCAGCTCACTGCAAGCTCTCCCTCCCGGGTTCACGCCATTCTCCTGTCTCAGCCTCCTGAGTAGCTGGGACTACAGGTGCCCACCACCACGTGTGGCTATTTTTTTTTGTATTTTTAGTAGAGACGGGGTTTCACGGTGTTAGCCAGGATGGTCTCGATCTCCTAACCTCGTGATCCACCTGCCTCGGCCTCCCACAATGTGGAGCTTACAGGCGTGAGTCACTGCGACTGGCTGAAAACATGTTTTCTAATGTGAGAAGTGGCTTCTCTGGTTTGACAGGTAGCCCAGATGAAACTGGAAAAGGGGTTAACTGTGACACGCACATACGCTAATTTTCCAAAAGAAGGAACATGAGTAACATCCATTTGCCAAATAGCATTAGGAGAAAGGCCTTGGGGATTCACTCCAGGAGATTGTGTGGGTAAGAGAAGAACTTGACATTGAGAACAGTATTGTACAATTTGTTTAGCTTGTTTCCAACTGAGAGAATATTTATGTTTAAGACCTGAGGCGTTAGTATGAGTGAGTTGATGAAATTGTTCTGCATCTGTAACGGCTAGAGAAAATAGAGTATCAACTTTATGATTACCACTAGATAAAGGTCCAGGCAAATTAGTATGAGAACACATGTGAGTGATGAGAAAAGAGTGCTTTCGGTTTCTGATGGTTTTTTGTAATAAAGAGAACAAAGAAAACAGATTAGTGTCGGTAATATTTTTGATGGTGGCTGTTTCTATTGCCTTAGTGGCATGGACTACATAAGCTGAGTCAGAGACAATATTAAGAGGCTGATCAAAATCTTGTAACGCAGAGATAACAGCAAACAACTCAGCTTTTTGAGCAGAAGTGTATGGAGTAGAAATGACTTTATCTTTTGGTCCTACATACCCTGCCTTTCCATTACTGGATCCATCGGTAAAAATGGTAACGGCTGCCTCTAGTGGTGATGAACGAGTAAGTTTTGGTAGAATCTAGGAAGTATTTTGCAGAAATTGAAAGAAGTTTGACTTACGCAAACGATTATCAATAGTGCCAATGAAGTCAGCCAGATTAGTCTGCCAGCACAAGGATGTAGAAAAGGCATTTTTAACTTCATTTTTTGAAAGGGACCACAATAATGTTTGGATCAAAGTAGGAAATTTTAGTGATACGTTGATGTCCTAACCCAGTTAAAGTGGCCATTTGATCAAGATAT